CCGATAGGGGAGAGGACATTTGTAATGTCGTCTTCCACGCGTCCCCCGATATCATCTTATCGAAGGCAAATAACAACTCCAGGGTTTGCAATTTATTTGTAATCTTGTTAGAAACTTATCTTATTTTTCAGTTGAATTCTGAATTATAGACATCGTCTACAAGTAAGTACTTTCCGTGGTCGTGATGGAGATGGACAGCGGCATCATTCTACATTACCTCCTCCTCCTGATCCTCCTATAATCCCCCTCTCTAGAGTGTGAGTCGAGTTTAGATTCAATCGAAAGTGTTCAATGTCTCCTTTTTTTTCAGTCCAGACCGTCCAAATCTTGGAACTGTCAGGAGTACTGGAAGTCCTGCAGGAGTTTTGAATGCACAAGGAGAAGTCGTATGTGTTACCCGAAAATATCATATTCATCTGTGATTTCATCCCTCTGCTTTTTAGGTGACACTTGGAGGCAGAACCGGTCCAATTATAATACCTACTACTTCAAATCGAGATTCGGCACCTCCTCAGGCGGAAACCGGGGCAAATTCTATTGTATCCGAACACTCTACACCGCAGTCATCGACTCGTCCTCGTTTCCCTTCTATTCTTCGGAAGACAGATACATCAACACCATCACCGCTTCCAACCTTGCCGCCTCCACCACCACCACCAAATATTGGCAAGCAGGTGCCACCGCCGAGACCGCCACCCACATCGCGTCCTTTACCTCCCCATCGGTTGATCACGGCGCCCCGTCCGGTGCCTCCTCATCGGCTCATCAAATCGCTTCCTCTTCCTACAGTGCCACCTCTGCGAACTCAAAAGGTGAACTCAGAGTCTAGCAGTTCGAGTAACACACCAGAGCCTCCCAAGGAACAAGAGCATGCCTCTGAGTCGGCTTCTTCATCATCAACTATATCGTCAATAGATAAAGCAGCACCTTCAACGGATAAAACAACACTCTCATCTGAGGAACAAAATCCGCAGGAAAAAGTATTTGTGGAAAAGGATATGGATCCATTGAGCATACTGGCAGCGGTATCAGAAGCAGCAAGAGATGGTGCCGTGCAAGGTAAGGCCTCTAAGACGTCTGCATCAGCTACCCAACCCTCAAAGACTACACAAGCGGCAAAGGATGAAGAAGATGATGAATATGAAGAGGAGTTGTAGAAATATCATATTCTATGTTATGTACATTTCAAAACTGCGTAATAAATAGACGTAATAGTGATTTCTTCGGTACCATTGCTGTTAGTTGACATCTAGATCGTTATGAAGTCTCTAATAGCTGACTTCCAAAATAACTCAAAAAAACCTGAACAAAAGCTACATCAATATGAGTTCATAAAATAGCGCTTTGAGCTGTCGCAGTTTCTTGTCTCTGACTTGGAATGGTTTTGTTTAGTTATTTCACAAGTCTAGTAGTAGTTTTTGCGGATATCGTGCCCACATTAAAAAAAA